AGTGCAGTGTTAATGTACTGGAGTGTCCAGTCAGTCAGTGTGTCTGTATGAACCCCTCTCTCTCAGTGCAGTGTTAATGTACTGGAGTGTACAGACGCGGTTTCTGTATCTGACCGCATGATCAGGCGAGAAGTGTCCTTTACTTACCTTTTCCGAAGCGATGTCAATAGCCGACTGGTTGTAGAATGACGTCACGGTTTTGGAGCGCTCCCGGGCCAGTTCGTGGTTTTCCGTGGCGGAGGTGGATCGGAAACGAACCAGACACCGGGTTCCCCGAACCACCGGCCCCAGCCTCCCCATGTGAACGACCACAAACTTCAGCATCACGGCGGCCGTCCCCTCGCAGCTGCTTAAAAACAATCTGACGTCCTAACTTAACGTTAAGACTTCAGTCATTCTGAATAAAAGCCCCCCTTAAAGCCTTCACTTTAACTACCTGCTCAGAAACTAGACGGCAGAACACAGACACCACCAATCAGCTCTGATTAAATCGCAATTAAATGGAGGCGGTTATGCGCACGGCTGCAATATTGTCGCAAAACAAAAAAAGAACTTCAATCCCTGGCACGCCCTGCGCAACCGTTGCTTTTGTCGTAATAGCAGCCTAATTTGTTTTTCGTGTGTGCAGTTAATGTGTAATTCACATCTCCCACGGCTTTAAATGCAATGAGACGTTCTCCATTGTCTTCATGAGGCTGCACCAACGTGTGGCAGGAGTCCGATTCCTGGGGAAGACGGGATCTGTCCCTCGCTGGGTCCTGCGGTTTTCAGGACCGGGGTTTTACTCCGGGGCTGGTGTCAATCCAACAGGCCGAAAACGTCAAGCTTCCTTGTCGGGGAACGCCGCGTCCCCCTGCGACAGCGCACCGCGACGGGTCGCCATGATGGAGCCGGTATCGACCGGGCTGCCGTCTCTCATCCTCGCCCGGAACAGGGGTGTCTCCGCCGTCGCGTCGCCCTCGCCGTCGGAACCTGCCGGGATCCACGGAACCATGAAAGAAAAGTCCGTTTTCCGTTATTTTTTTCTCCCCCTTCTCCTCTGCTTTCTGCCGTGGTAGACGTGCGTTGACACACGAACGTACAAAACACAAACACGGGTGACGCGGCCGTGCAGGACCGCCCCTCCCGCTGGGGTCAAAGGTCGAGGCCAGCTGTGCGCCATGTTGGTAGAGGGTTAACACAAATGCAGAGCCGGCCTCCTTTTGGTGTTACAGTTTTGAGTATTTTGAATGAGCATTTAAATTTATTTTCACGTTACGCCAGTAAAGCTCATTTGTATTTTCAAATATTAAGTCTGATTATTATTTGCATTAATAAGGGGCGCATTGTGTAGTGCAGGTGCCGACTACTTTTAAAGTTTCTGATAATTTATTGTTTATAGTGTATTTTTAATATTCGACACTTAAGTCACTTAAAGAGTTTTGATGCCAACAAATCGACTAAATGTAATCTGAGTTATATGTGTTGATGTATTTTAACTGCAGTTGCTATATATTCATTCAACTGTACATGAAGCAGATAAGTTGTAGTCGTCTTTGTTTTTCTACAGTACATATACATACAATTTTCTATGCTAATTAATTTAAATTGAGATCCCAAAGCCGATCACCTATTTAAAATATTTTGCATGTACATCAATGAGACAAAATTATGAATTCCTCTCTTCAATAGTATATACTAAAGTCATATCAATGGAGCCGTCAACATCCATTATTCACAAAGCCTTGATTAGAGGAGTTTGACACCTTGCGACTGCTTCGCGTTTTGACTCGAGTCCCTTCCCCTTTCGACTCGATCTGCTCGGTGCTCGACTCGCCCGACTGAACCCAATGACTTGATGAATCAAACGAACGAATCGCGCGGGGATCGACTCATCCGATTCACCGAAGTTTCTCGCGGCCAAAACCAGAAAGACAAGTGCGGCCCGACCGCCGACCGCACAGCCCCGATATCCTTGTCGTCACCGACAGCGACTCGCAGGCGGGCCCGGCTCTTGAGGACGGTGAGTGGTTCGTGTGTAACGGACCGGTCAGCCACTGAGGCGTGAGCGCAGTAAGGGGGCCGGTGGGTGTGGGGGGGGCTTTGTAGCCAGGCTGGCCAGACGGACATCAGACATCCTCTGCCGAAGTAGTTAAAGCAAGACGCAGCTGATAAAATGTTCTAGCACAGCAGGTGCCTGAGTACAATTACTAAGTATCCATCGATCATCTGACGTGATCAGAATCGATAACCCCCCGTTCTTCGCAGAAAAACCGATACTGTCCTTTCTAACCAAGCTCGACAAAACCCGCAATTCGAGACTCCCTAATAAATCCCTTGTTTTATAATTCAGCTGTAGATTTTTTTTTTCACGGTAATCTTCAGGATAAGAGTGCGTTATATGGATAAGTTTCTTGGCGAACTACTCCCTTGGGTATGACCCCCGGGATATCTCCCCATTGACTGCAGTGCAAGCGTCCTAACTCGTCGTTGTCCGTTTACACGAAAAAGACCAATCTGGCGGCCCCATAACTACAGCTTTCGTGTTATAAAACTAAATTCAGAGCTCTTCGCTGAGAGGTGTCATTACTGAGAGGTGTTCAGAAGTCGGTGGAGAACTTGATCTTTTACGCTTGCCTTGTCAGATTGTTTCTCTGTTTTACGTTTTGTCCCCCCCCGTAGGGGTGTAACAGACAAGGGAGATGAGGTTTGGAATCTCAAAGCGATGTCGCTTTTCAAATTACTTTCGTAAACCAACACACAGGGAATGATGCGGTTACGCCGCCCAGCCACCGGGCTGCTTTTGAGAGCGGACAGGATATGACGTCTGGCAGCAAGCGGAAAGGCTTTAACTCTTTAACTCCCCGCCTCCCCGAGCAGCGGGGCTGATTCCACCGGCCCCCTGAGCTATCGCGGGGTCTCACTGGCTCTATTGCTTTTCAGTGCGATGGAGCCTCTGAGCTCAGTGCTTCCAATCCACCTTTTAATCGATTCTTGCGCCCAGTCCAGGGTTTCAGAGTTCAGTTTGTTTGCCATACGCACAAGTGCCATGAAGTGAAATGCTTATTTGTATGTGTGCTGCAATAGGAAGGCATTAAGGAAACGCCAACTGAAACGGAGAACAGCAGCAAACAAAGTAAACAACGTTAAATAACATTCAAACACAACTCGGCACAAGCTGTGTCAAGAAAAAAAACATCAGTGTGAGTCAGTGGTACAAAGAACTTGTGGGAAGAAGCTGTCTCTGAATGATGGGGTTCGTGCCTTTATGCTCCTGTAGTGCTTACCAGAGGGCAGGGGAGACAAAATTGAGGAAACCAGAACGATTGTTATCCTTGGCAGTAACCCCAGCCGTCCCGAGACAGCGAGTTCTTTCAAAATGTTCATCTTCAGTCATACAACTTCAGGAAGCAGAACACAGAGCGATCTCTGTGGAAGAGCTTTTGAACAGGAGACCCTCTGCCTGTGAGCGGGCACGTTTCTGATGGGCCTGACAGTGTGGCCATCCATGTGTCACGTGTTACACGCACACACTCACACCAGGGCCATGTTTCCCTGAAGCTAGTTATTCTACCAGCATGTCTCTGGACTTTGGGAGGGAACCCGAGTGAACATGAGGAGGACACGCAAACTCCACACAGACAGCACTCCAGGTCTGGAAGTGAACCCAGGGCCCCAGTGCTGCACCACCAGGGTGCCCCTGACCGTGTGCCACATGTTTCCTTAAGGAGCATTTTATTTTCTCTGTGCACAGGTCCTGTTAGTGACATTTCGCATCTGAATAAGATAAGATCAGATCACTTTATTGGTCATATACATGCATTAGGAATTTGTCTTTTCTCAGACCCCAACTTGCTCTCCATGAGACACACAGACAGGGAGAGAAGCTGGGGGTCAGAGCACAGGGTCAGCCATTTATACAGCACCCCTGGAGCAGCTGGGGTTAAGGGCCTCGCTCAGGGGCCCAGCAGGGTAGGATTCCTCTGCCGGCCGCGGGATTCGAACCAGCAACCTTCCAGCCACAGTCACAGATCCTTAGCCGCAGTGCCACTGCTCTGCCCGAATAAGGAATAAGGGCAGTACTGGACTGGAGAAACTGGTAGAGCTGATGCCTTTTACAACCTTTAAAACTGTGAAAGAGAACATGGCTGGGTTGCACTCCAGAAGACACAAGCATCCCCCAGGTCTGGGCTGAAAACTGCTATCAAACAGAAAAACTTGGGGTCCCTCTTTCCTGATCCTGGAGGGCTGTTGTGTCCATGACCTCCAGTCTGGCTGAGCTCATAAAGACCTGATCCAGCTCATTCCTGGATTAATTAGACCAGCTGAACAGCTTCTCCTGCTGCAGACACACTGACCAGCCCTCCAGGACCAGGACTGGACAGTCCTGCTGCAGACACACTGACTGACCCCTCCAGGACCAG